TTGGCTCCTACAATTGGGATTTAGAAGATTTCTCAATTCTGAAAGTAACAAGGGGTGACTGCTCAACCCCCTATTACTGGTTCTGACCTTTTCAATCCTTGGTCCGCAGATGGGCAATCGTTGATAAGCATCTATGCTATCACAAGAATCCTATGTTCATAATTTATTTTTAGGACTGACGTGCATTGTTCCGATGTATTTGGCTGAAACGTCACCAACAAATTTACGTGGAATGTTAGGTTCACTTCATCAGCTGCTTGTCACCATCGCGATTTTGGTTTCTCAGGTTCGTAAATGGATTTCTTGTGCGGGCGTTTCTTTTCGTTAGCCAAGATTCGCGAGTTTAACTAGTGAAGCCTGCTCATAGCCACTTGGAACGATCTTCCAAAAACATGCATGGGTAAAACAAAAATAGCGAGCACTTTCAAAATTCGGCTTTTCTGAACGAGTCGAGCGGCATGGTCCAGGTGTAGGAGCGAGACTTGGCATGCTCGGGTAGAGGGACGGAACTTCCGTGCGTCCGAGGATGCGCGTTGCGAACTGCGCGGCGAAGTTCGTAACGATTTGAACGACTTTAGCGCCTATCATTGGGGTCCAAATTTGGAGTAGAGTAGATTAGAAGGATCATATGGCCCTAATAAACTACTCTACTTAGAGTTTGTGCCCCGAAAATTGGCGTCAGAGTCGTACAAATCCACGAACTTCGCCGCGTTAGTTGCCGCGCGCGTCCTCGGACGCACGTATGTACCCTTACCCGATCGGGTATGGTATAGTGTTCACGTGGACAACTTGTGCTTTCCCTTAATTCTGATTTTTGCAAGTAGCAGCGCTCCCACATTGTGATCCGGGGATCAAATCCCTAATCGATTTCCGTCCGGGTCAATCGAACCGTTCACCATTCCAGGGCGCTGTAGTCGATTGCAAGCAGGCAGTTGGTTATACAGGCTCAATTGCGCATTGAAGCTTTGAAAGCTCGTTCTTTCACACTTTCTAAAGATAAGCAGCCGATTTTCAAGTCCATGTTTCACTGCTTTTTCAAATGTGTGTTGTATATCACGTGATGTTTTCGAAATAGGCTTCGGAATGACTTCCCATAGGAATGAATTCATCGTGAATATTTTAGGAGGCCAATAGTCTATGGGCACTTCTTGTCTCAATTTTGCGGTTCCCAATCGGCGTTTCACTTCACGACCGGTTACGTATAATTGCCCACTTGAGTTAGAATCACCGAGCCAGATTCCCAGCTGCTAGGTTTTTCTGGCTTACCATTGACCGCTGTGTGAGGGTGACATAAGGCATGGGAATGAGGGAAGAAGCTTTCAATGAAAAACATGGAAATATTGTGTTTGAAAGGAATAGCAGTAATGAATAAGGTCAAATTGATCGGATTTAAAAGTTGTTATCTGTGGTCACGTGATATTCCAAGCCCTGTTTTCAGATACTTGGCTTACCGTACATCCTTGGTAATACTGACCGATGGCCTCTCATTTTCGCATTCACTGTCGTACCATCAGTGTTGCAAGTGATCACATTGCCGATGATCCCCGAATCACCCAAATACACCCTGTGTGTTCGTGGGCAGCAAGATAAAGCCACCCGAGATTTGAAGAAGTTGAGAGGAACAAATGATGTGAGTTGCTTGGACTTTAACGTCGTAGGCTACAAAAGGTATGAGGTATGTCTAGGTGAGTGCCGAGATCGAAATGTTCCGTGAAGAAGCGG